GGGCAGGGCAAGAAGAGGCTTCAATGAGTCAGACAGAAAAACATTTCATATACCAGGACCAGAGCCAGGCATCATGCTGAGGCCTCACAACCTCCTCATGAGTGAGGACTAGCATCAGACCCATTTTAATCAATGAAAGAAACCAACTCATTGAAGTGCAGTCATTTGCCAAATGCCACATCTAGCAAATGGCTTTACTGGGATTCAAAAACAAGTTCTCCCTGATTCCAGTGCCCATGCAGTAGCTCCTACTGAATGTTCACGTGCTAGGGACTGAGTATATACATATCTCAGTGATTCCTCACAACCACAGGGGAAGAAAGTAAAAACGATCCCCATGTTACAGATGAGAATGGCAGCTCCAAGGTCACACAATAAGTAACTACAGGGCCAGGACTTGAACCCAAGTCAGTCCAATGGCTATGATAATGCTGGTCAAGGGATTACTATGAGCAGGCACTGTGATCTGTCTTTGCAAGGTTTCAGTTAACGCTTACCAGAAGCCTTTAAGTACTGGTATCCTCCTACAGCTGCAGAATTCCCTGCTGGACTCAGTTTCCTCTCTCCACCATTAAAAGCCCATCTCCAGCGCTGACTCTCTGAATGGTGAAAATTATAACATTAATAATAATGGAAAAATGACCACTCCCAAAACTCAAGTAATTGCCATATACTAGATAACCTGTGCTAAGCCCTTACAAGGTGTGGATCCAAATCTTAATTTACCACTTCCTAACCCATACTCTGGGGCTTAAATTTTCTTTCTTTCTTTTTTTTTTTAAATTGATTTCAGAAAGGAAGGGAAAGGGAGAGATAGAAACATCAATGATGAGCACAGCTGGCATCACTCAATAGTCGAGCGTCAACCTATGAACCAAGATTCCCGGTCAGAGTATATGCCCAGGTTGTTGCTATCTCTCTCTCCCTCTCTCTTCCCCTCTGAAATCAATCAATCAATAAATAAACACATATATATATATATATATTTAAAAAGAAACATCAATGATGAGAGAGAATCATTAATCAGCTGCCTCCCGCACGCCCCACACTGGGGATCAAGCCCACAACCCAGGCATATGCCCTGACCAGGAACTGAACTGTGACCCCCTGGTTCATGGGTTGACGCTCAACCACTGAGCCACGCCGGTGCCGGAGCCACGCAGGCAGGGCAACCTTTCTGGATTTCACTTCCCTTGGTTATAAAATAAGAATGATAAGAGTATCTATTCTTAAGAGTAAATGAGTTCAGAGAGAAACCAAGATGGCGACATAGGTAAACACCGGAAATTGCTGCCTCCCACAACAAATTCAAAAATACAACGAAAAGACAAAACAGACATCATCCAGAACTACAGGAGGGCTG